AAGTAAAACCAGCTGAATTTGCGTGTTTAATGCGTTAATTAAATACGTGTTCTTGGACGCGTTTTTTTTTTAATTTATTCTGACATTAATACTGATAACTGTCACAAAAAAAAACAGGTTAGAAAATTTGAAAAAGTTTTACGTAATTTAATTAAAAGTAATTAAAAACATATCATAATGAATGTATTTAGTAGTTGAATTAATAATTAATACTAATAATATTTATTATTTTACTTACTTTTTATATTACATATGGAAATCTGTTATTACAACTTTGAAATGAGTTGAAGGTCTTACATTTGAATTAAACTTAATAAAAACAATTGATTTTATATACAATAATTTGATCCAATAATTAAATTAAAATGTGTAAAAAATATCACATTAGAAACACATCTATTGGCAATCATCTATATTCCAACCTCTAACTTTCTTGACTGAAGATAATGTATGAAGTGCTGATACTTGAAATCTTATCTAATATTTTATAGGATTAGAATAATTCAATTATCTAGATATAATCGAAGATGCACCTTTTTGACCGTTGACAAAGTATAACATGATAAAAATGAAACTTTCCAATAAGTATTTCTACTATTAAATCACGCATACCAATTAGATTGAACTCTGACCTTTACATTATACATAGTTGTATTAGTTTACCTGATTTAGGCATAGTGTAGAATCTCTCATAGATATATCAATATATGTACACATTAAGAAACATGAAACATAAAATTGAATTTAAAAACTATTAATAAAGATTCCGTTAACAAAATATTACTCCATAGTAAACGAAATAAAACGATGCTAAAGAAACTTTGTCGGCAAATAACAAAGACTATCGAATGCATTAATATTATAACTATAAACCTACTTGACAACAACTCAATAACTCAATGACTAAAACGTTTCAAACCGTTTAAAAATTTATCAAAACAAATATTATGTAATTTCTCCCAGCACTACCGCTTTCCATTAATTCTCAATCGTAGGATTTACTGAACTATCGTCAATGAACAATTATATTTAATCAACTTTAATTAATCATATCTATCTATTACATGTAAATGACTTAGAAAAATGTAATGTGTTTCCTTAAAATTTAAAGTGAAGTATGTTAATTCGGAATATAATACAAATCTCCATTTAAGACAGATTATATAACAATAAAAATATAATTAATTAATTAATTAAAAAATTATAATCTAATTAAATAATTAAGTTATTAAATCACTCAAATATATCAAAATATGTACACATTAAGAAACATGAATTAAATGAAAAAAGAATAGATTTGATTTATTTTACTACCTAATTGTCTACCTACTGTTTGTCGGAGATTCTTTATTTCGACTAAACTAAATGCTAGAAGAAATTTATGAATTATATAATTGGCAATTCCAAATAAATAAGTAAAGTGTTTCCTTACAATTTAAAGTGAACTAATTCAGAATATAATACAAATTTTAGACAGATTATGTAACAATAAAAAGTATAATCAATTAGTTAAAAACATGTAATATAATTAAATAATTGCAAGTTACTGAATGAACTTTTTCTCGAAAATTAAAAATCAAAACATACACATCTTTAATTATGTATACGTTTTGATCTCTCTTGATCTTTCATGCAACTACAATTAATATGAGTTTTTGTTAAAAAAACTTTTCTAGGTAATTATTTATGTCGTTATATCTCTGTTAATTCACGTGACGTGTAATGCGGATTATTTTCGATCTATATCTACATTTCATCACCTTTAAGGCTGAAGTCACCAGCAGTAATCTAAGAAAATCACTTTTAAGTTCTTTCAGATAAAGCAACTTCTCCGTAAACAGAATATTTCTTAATTCTTACATTAGTATTTTTTGCTTTCCAGTAATAGAAACGTATCAAAGTGTAAATTGCACTTTGTTTTCTTCCATCTTCTAGAGTCTACTAAACAGACACAAATCATTTGATCCCAACCAAAGTTGTCTAAAGACGGTTGAAATGTCATCTTTCAGAATAAGTACAAAAGTCATTTGTTTTTAACAATTCAGACATATTCAGGCATTAGCACTTGCACAATATGTAATATTACCAAACAAACCTTGAACCTTGAATTGGTTCAATTCTAACCTTGAATTGTTTAATTTATAAATTAGAATTTAGATTTTATTTAATATTATTGTCTAGTTTTCGAACTAGGTGATTAATTTACTTGAACAATGGTTTTCTAAACCATGGAAGTCAATTTATATTCTATTTGTGTTAAAGTACCGTAACGCAATTGAAATTATAAATAAAAACACTTAAGAAGTTTTGAATTGGCGTGATAATGGCTATTTAAACAGACATGTATAATAAAAGTTTCAAGTGGTGTGGGCATCATCATCAATCAGTTAAAAAAAAATAAATGTAACGTGAACCAGGAACAATTGTTTTGTACTTTTTTAATTAAACAGCAATAATCTAAGGAATGCGCTTATTTATATTCGCCTAAATTCCATTCACAAAGCCGGCTCGACCAGATTCGTTATATAGCCCAGGGTGGATGAAGTTAACATAAATAGAAGCAATACATTGTTAGCAATGCATAAATGTCGCGCATAACCGAAGCCAAAACATTTTCATCGTCGGAGCCGCAGCATTGGGGGAGTAAAACGAAAATATTTGCACGGAAAACATAACGCGTGTAAGCGAATATACGTTGCCTTATTTTTGTCTCTCTTTCATACTCTTTCTCTCTATATGCTAGCACGATGTTATAAATATAGCGCTAAGTGCTGAAAATTACGTCAGAGGCCTTGGTCGCAGATAACCTTTTCGAATAATAATTTTCGGATTATCCTTCGGGAGAGGTTTTTCATTAATTGCGCTCTGGATGTTACGTGATTCAATGATGCTAGTTTTACCGGATTCCGCAAACGTTAGATGATTATATAAAGAAAAAGATAAAAAACAAACGATTATGGAGAAAGAGAGCAATCCGAGCAAGCGGAACTTGTATTCGGTGAGTGAAAATGCCTAAAAAAGGTAGAGCCAATCCAATTTGTCTACGTTAATTGGTGGAATGGTGGCGTGGAAGAGACGCGCTTCGCAACGCATGTGTAAATATTGGTTTTTGACGAGATAGAGTTGTGTGTGTGACCTACTAATGGATGATGATGATGGTCTATTCAAAATAGTGGAGGCCGATGCGTGGAAACGCGCGTCTAGATTCTATTGGAAACAGATGGCCAATTGATACTTGGTTTGCATCGGTGGTCTTCAAACTGTTACGCACAATCTCTTCAGCAGTTCCGCATATCAAAGTAAAAAAATTTAATAAAAAACGTTGAAAATTTATTAATTTATAATATTTATGATCAATTGCAATTATTCATTTAATTTTTATTTCATACTTTTTATTAAGCTATAATTATACATGTATTTTAATAATTATATTTTATACAATAACTTGTATTAACATTTGATCTACATTGTTATTTCCATATATTATTGTGTAAAAAATACAGCAATACCTCGCATAGTCCGGGTAATACAAATAGAATTTTGTTCAATTAAAATTTACTTTGTTTTGACATTTTCAAACTGGACTATTGTGATCGAATTCCGTATTATTAGAGGTTTGCTGTATATATTTTACTTAATAGTCATGAATTGAAAATCAAAAACAGGAAGTAACATTTTATACTGAATTATATCTAAAAATATATGTATTTTGTTTTACCTTGAAATAACTGGCAATCATTGCCTTTAAATGTAGAAGTACTACTGAACTAATTTTATGATTTACAGTTGAAATAAACATTTTTTAAACGAATGTAAACATAATTACGCTTTAAAAATATATTATGAAATGTGTAAATATTATAGTATAAAATGTAATCATTCCGTCAACAAATGAAATATAATTAATGCATAAATATTTAAGTTAAGTTATCAAAATTAGTTTATCACTTCTAATATTAGATATCAAAAAACTGAATAGTTTCCTAATGAAAAATGAATGAAATTTGAAATAGTCAAAAACTTAAAATGCGAATATATTTTAAAATTATGTAGCAGCAACAACAAAATACAATAATTTAACTGAACAATACCTGTTTTCTATACTTTTTTTTTTATCAAAAATTGAACGCACCGTTTACTAAATGTTGAACAAAACAACACATAACACATTTTCTACAGCACACATGCTGATAGTTATTCAATATTTTTGATAATTTTCTTTTGACTTTTAGCAACAAAAAAAAAAATAATTCTTCGAATTAACAATATTTTGCAGAGGTAGAGATAATTATATAATTTTCATTCCATTTTTCATATAAATAATTTTGTACCGTTATCTTTCCTGATTAACGCAAAAAAACTTAATATCTCCTGGAGTTAACAAATGTTTGAAAACCACTGTTGTTATTTTAACATATTTTTTTTCTAAAATTTATCCAAAAATAATTAATATTTCCGTGTGTTGGAATAGTTTGAAAACACTGCTTTTTATAGTGATATTCTTTCATTCTGCTGTTTAAAACAGTATAAAATGATCATTTATGTAGAAAAAATAGTTTAGTCTACTATTTAATACTTTGTTTTGAAATTGTTAACCGGGCTAATCGACGTCGACGATTGCTTTTTTTTGTTTGAGTTGAGAATGTTTGAAAACCACAGGTGTATAAAATATTACATTGTAGTTGATGAGAATTAGATTATCGAGCGATCTGGATCGCATCGTTACACCCATTCGGACATCCTCATGAATGGGTCCCATGCAAATTACCATTTTCAATGACATGTAAACAAATTCATTATCGAAAGGAGCGCATGCATTAAATTGATTGGGCAAGAAACATCTAAGGTCGTGCAAGTAGAAATAAACAAACAAACAAAACAAAAAGGAAACACATGAAATGACCATGAGCAACTAACTACAACTCGATGATTTCTAACTAGTATTTACAACAATTTCTTGTATATATATATAGAGAGAGAGATTAAAATAAGTTACGAACCTATGCGGCGTTTTTATTTTGAAAATTCAAGTTTATTTAGGGACTTCGTTTAGCAATTAATTATTCAAATGTCACCATCGTCCGGCACTGCGTGGGCACGACTCTGCATATCTGAATGTTGTATTCAATTTTGAAAATGAAACGATAGGAAAAAAAAAGTGCGCGCGCTTTCGCGATTCGTTGCTGCGTTGCGTGGAGACGGTGCTCGCCACGGGACAACCTCCAGGTGGAAACTGAATGAAGCAGATCGAAAGAGCGCCAAATGGGAATAGCGGCGCGCGCGAATTCCGCGTAGGAAGTCCTCCGGCTTATTTCCCCCCCACTAGGAACAAGAGATGGATGCCATCGTGGGTTGAGGAATTTTTACATTTCTTCGGTTATTTCATTTACGATCCACTCGAAACGTATGAGTGAAATCCCCGAAGAACTTAACATCTTAACGCTCGATCATCCATTCATCCTTTTTTGGACCGAACACCTTTCCAAATCTGAATGGAAGGCGGCGCTCATCATTCACTTTATAGTACTACATTTTTATTACCATTCAAGAATTGAATTATGCAAGTTATTCAAAACCAAATAGAATGTATTTATAACTACATTTTCACGTAAAACTGTTCAGTTTTCAAATTTGTTGTAAATGCAAGATAGATGAAAAAATAATCACATTACATTTATGGTATTAATTAAATAAATAATTAAAATTGATTTATAATTATAAAATCAGATTTAACTTAATTTTATTGGGCACTTTTCCACCTAAAATTGTTAGTGTGTAAGTGAAAAATTGTATTTTCAATATATATATTTGTATCTAATTGCTACCACAAAATCACAGTCAACTTAAACACTTATAATTGAAATTGTTAACAGTTAACGATAAGTTCTACTTCGACTTTTAATGTAATTCACATTTCATTTATTAATTAAACAACTAATTAAAATATGTTTATAGTTATAAAATCATATTTAACTTAATTTTACTTAACAGTTATACAAGTAAAATTGTTAATATATAAGGGAAAAAATGTATTTATCATATATATAACCACATTGCTAACACAAAATCACAGTTAACGTATACTTGAAATTGTTAATAGTTCAAGTTTTACTTCTACTTTTTTGTAATTTACTTTACAATTATGGTGTTAATTAAATAATTAGTTAGAATATAAATAATACAAAATCATATTAAACTTAATTTTACTTTTACTTTTTCCAAGTAAAATTGTTAATATTTAATCGAAAATTCAATTTTGTTGTAACTGGTTAGAATGAACACCTAGATTAAATACATGATTTCCAATGCAAATATTTTATTTATATTATAGTAATTACAAACTTGTACGAAAATACTATACTAATCTTATAACCTGTTTGTTTTAGGCCAAGTTTTTCTTAATTATATAAATAAAGTTTATATTTATTTTCATTTTATATAGTTTTAATTAAATAATTTAAGAAGAAAATATTTATTTATTACGTAGCTTCTGCGTACTATTACAGTATAAGTGGATTGTTGAAAAAAAGAATCATATAAAATTCTAATAAATAAATGAAAAAAACATTTTCATTTTTAAGCTGAAGTTACTAAATTACATCGTTTATACTAGGTTACGTTCCATAAAGGCATAAATTGTTTTTAATTATTAATTTATATTCCTATTAGATCTCTTATTTTGGTAGATTGGAAGAAACGAATATAATTTCTATATATTTATACAATTTGTTCATTATTTACTTTTCACGAATGCATACGTATTGTATAATTTCGTTATAATTTGAAAAATCACTAGCAGGAAAACCTACGGTCAATAGTCCTTTGTAGGAGTTGACTTTTTGTTTCTTTATTATTGTATGAAAATGTTAAATTATATTTTTGGTATAGTTGCAATTAATATAATAATATTCTTGAAATAATATTTATTTTAAGCAATTAAACTAAAAGATAAAATTAAACTAAAAGATAAGTTTAAATTATGATTGTAAAATGTAAGAAATATTATTAGTTTCAATTTTTTTTTGAATAAAGAAAGTTCGAAAATGTTTAATCTGTTATTACGCAGCATTGGAGGAGTTGACAATGAATTAAACATTATTATAGAAAGATATTCACAGGCTTGCTAGATTCCAGGAATGAACTCGGTAAACATTTATAATCAAGATTCGTATAGTATACGGCAAAACTTATCGCTTACAAAACAAGAGGCTAACAATGATACAATAATTTAATAATATAACTTTCTATGTGCAAACGTTATGCTAGCAACTTAAACGCAATCTGCAATAAATCTGAAATATGTTTGTTTATTTTATTTATATATTTGTGTGTTTCGAAATGTAAATTTTGTAATAGTTGTATATTATAAAAAGTATTGTTTATTATTACAAATATAATACAATTTGTGAAAGGGATTAAATAGGATTATAGAATAAACTAGGTATTGTTTAAAAAATATTTTAATCTAGTTGAAAACAAAAATCTGTATCTAATACTTAACTTATTATTAAATATATGAAATCGTTCCTGCACAAAAAACGTACATTTTATTCCCATTTCAGAAGTCTTTTGGTTTTGAAAGATTTTAAGCAGCAGCTGCAAATGAATTGTTGCATTAGTATGTATGATAATAGAATCTACCAAAATACGGAACCTTCCGCGGCTGGTGCTTCCGTTGGAGGAGCTTCCGCTGGTGGCGCTTCAGCAGCTGGTGCAGGTTCAGCTGCTGCAGCATCTGCTGATGGAGCTGGGGCTTCTGCTGCAGGCGCCGCTCCTAAATGTATCATTCGAAAATGTAAAAAAAACCTATTTCGTCCGAAAGATTAAGTTTATACCTTCCGCTGGAGGAGCTGCGGCTGCTGTGGCATCTGCAGGTGCAGCTACAAATATAATTAATTACTATATTGAAACTGTAATTATATTAATACAAAATATTATTATACTCCAATGAATGTGAATTATAAATATTATCGAAGAATTTTTTGAATGTAGTATATGCAACCCAACCAACGAATGTAATAAGAATGTCCATTATTTATGGAATGATGTGATTTGTTATGAATTGCTTTGCAAACCTTCAGCTGCGGGTTGTGCGGCTTCAGCTGTTGCTGTACTTTCTGCTGGAGGAGCTGCTTTAAATAATTGTGTTCTTTTTATATCTTCGCTTTTGATTTTTAATATCATTTCAAACTACCTTCTGCTGGAGGTGCTGCTGCGTCTGGTGCACCTTCTGCTGCTGGGGTTGGTGGTGGTGCAGCTGGAGCTCCTTCAGCCGCTGGCGCACCTTCTGCTGGTGGAGCGCCTTCCGCTGGGGCAGCAGCTGGAGCACCTTCTGCTGGTGGGGCTCCTTCCGCTGGTGGAGCACCTTCTGCTGGTGGAGCACCTTCCGCTGGTGGGGCTCCTTCCGCTGGTGGAGCACCTTCCGCCGGTGGAGCTCCTTCAGCTGGTGGAGCTCCCTCTGCAGGAGGTGCTCCTTCTGCTGGTGGAGCTCCTTCCGCTGGTGGGGCTCCTTCTGCTGGAGGTGCGCCCTCGGCTGGAGGTGCACCTTCGGCGGGTGTAGCACCTTCTACTGGAGGTGCACCTTCTGCAGGTGGAGCGCCTTCGGCAGGTGTAGCCCCTTCTGCGGGAGGTGCGCCTTCTACTGGTGCCGCTGTTTCAGCAGTTATAGCTCCCTCAACGACAGGTGCTCCTTCCGCTGGTGGTGCACCCTCTGCAGGTGGTGCTGCTTCTTCCGGTGGAACCTCTTCAGGTGGTGGTGCTATAGAATTCAAAGGATCTCGTAACAACTCGATATATTCAGAAATAATCATTATCATTTTTCTTGAAAACTCGTTTTACCTTCTTCTTCCTAAAAGAAATCGAAAGAAAATATATATTAGCACTTCTACAATTTATAAAAATTGCTAATCACACAAAAGTTGGTTGAGATTGCTTCATTTTTAATAAATAACTTATGTATTTAACATAAATAGTAACATCTCCATTTTTTTCAGTCATGTCTAAACTAAATCCATATTCTATATAGTATCAAGTTTAGATTATATTACTAAAATTTGAAAATCAATGTAGTAATAATGCTTTAAGAATAAAAAAAAATAAAAATTGTTAAAAAATATTGCTTTATGTGTATAAAATATAGTATATTATATTTGCAACTTAAATTATGTAATTTAAACAAATTAATTAGGCTACCATAGTTTACTTGGAGATAGTAATATTTATGTGTAAAAAAATTTTTTTTTTTTGTTATATAATAGCTATTTCAAAGTTTAAGTTATTAAGCATCCTCTAAATTTTAATATTATTAAGATTTTCGTTTATAATACATTAATGAATGAAAAATATTACGTTAAATTTGAATCATCAATTTCAATCGAGCAGTGTTAAATTAAATAGTAATAAAAACTTTACTTACATACAAGGACTAAACAATGAAACCAATCCATCAACAAATGACAAAGACGTTCCAAACAAAACTCAATTAGTGTTCATAATAAGATACGAAACAGACGTTTGGGAAAGGGATATACAAATAAACAGACAGACACCTTACAGGGGTGATACGAATTTCTTTTCTCAAATTATTCTTATTTAAATTATTATCATCTCTTTACAAATATAACATTTAGTAAACAGTTTTCTCAATTCACAGTTTGTTAATAAGTTGTTGTAGGCTGTTCGGAAATCCGGTTTTTGGCCGGATGACCGAATCTTCATTCAGAAAGTGGTAATGAGTAGGAGACAAAAATTGAGTTAACAAATAATAAATATAACTTATGCACGTAATAAACTTATCAATAGAAGACTTAAGCCTCTGCTTCCTGTACCTTTTTGTCCTCCTTCTTCTGGGACCATTCAGGTTTCTTCTGCAAAATAAAACAAACAAAAATAGAAATTAGTTCATTGCTTTCGAATTGCAAATATATAAAACAAGGTTGTGCATGGAATATAACAGAGAAAACTTAAAACTGTGCTTGTATAAACTAAATGAAATAAAATTAAATTGTTGTAAAATTGTGGAAGTGCTAGAAAATGTGAATGTGCAAGATTTGAAGATGTACATAAAAAGAGCTTTGTTTGGTGATAGCGAACATTGGTTTCTTCGTTTTACTGAAGAATTTGCGAAATAGTGCTGCAGATTTAATTTTTGAGAGCTGAAGCGAAGCTACACATTCGGTACAAACATTGCTTATTGCTCACCTTTGGTAGTCCAAGATACTACTACAAAAGCTTAATATTCTTGACCATTGGGTTAAATTAGTTACAGTTCTTTTTTTAATCAGACAAAAAATGCGTTAGAAAAAGAACTAGTACAGGGAATAAAGAATGATATAGAAAGAAAAAAAGTAGGGAATATTTCAAAAAGAAGAATAGAGTAAAAAAAACAGTACATGAAGCAAAGCACTAAAAATAGTTTGCTAACAAAAATAGTTGTACGTAAAAAGTAAAAATTGTTTTTGGATTCCGTATTTTTAAGTAAATTTCTAACTGTTTTCTAGTATATATATATTTTGTTTTACATTTAATTGAAATAAATATAAATTTAAAAGTGTGTATATGTGTGTGTGTGGACCTAGTTTAGACTAGGACCGTGTTGTGTAATTAGAAGAGTTTTTTTTTGAAATAGTGTTTACTCGAAGATTTTAAAGAGTACGAAATAAAGTATTTGGCTTTTTATTTCTTCTGCGTCTGCCATTCGGCCTTTTCGGACTTCTTGGGCTGCGAAAAACATAAAGAAAACCTCTAGTTGTTGCATTTTTTCCATAGTTCGATCAAATAATTTCATTAATAAATCGATTTAATCCTCAAATTCGTTTTGCTGCGTTTATTGTTGTTGTTTTTGAAAAAATGAATTTTGATTTAACCAAACGAATTGAAGATTTCTGCTACTGGATAAGTGTTACGTGCGTAAACAATACGTTACCTCCTTGTCTTCTTCTTCAAGGGTGAACTCCTTCTTTTTGACGACCTTGAGTTGATTGCGGAAGTTGAATTCGGCGGCCTTCTTCTGCAATTTGGCGAATTTGTTCTCGTATTTGGAAACCTTCTTCAAGGTTGGCTTAACGCTGAACATCGAAAAAAAAAATATTAGTCTCTCATTAAACGAGTAAACGTATAAACTTACAATTTGCCTCTCAGATCGTTGACTTGGCTGTTGAGGTCGGAGATCTAAAAAATGTCACACAAAAAACAGTTAATAAATTGTTACCTTACCCTCCAGCATCGAAGCAAAGAACGAAGAATCGCTTTTAACAATTTATTTTTTCATCATCGATTCTTTGTTCTTCCCTTAAATAATAATTATGTTTACTGAAAAATTAGCACAAACATCTGTTATATAAGCTATATAAAAAAAAATAATAGTTAGAGATGTATAAAAGAGTAAAACGCACACAGAAACAAATGTTAGTCTTCATGAACAAATAGCTTAAATCTTTTTTTTAACAGTTTTGTTTTTAAGTTTACAGGATGTTTTAAACAAGGGAATAACTACTTGAGGATATCTAAACAAAAATGTTGTAAGGAAAAAATACACAATATACAGCCGTCGAAGAATGGTGGATACAAAAAAAAATTGGATTTGTTGCGTATAAAAACCAAAAAAAAAAACATTGTCTTACGAGGTATGTTTTTTTTTACTTGTATCGATGCGCTGGTCATAATCAGCTGTTACCTATCTACAAAAAAAAATACAAAGACAATGGCCCAAAATCCAGTCGGAATTTATGGCTCAAAAAAAACAAAACTTGTGGAGAGAGAGAGAAATAGACAGAGAGAGAGATAGAGAGAAAGAGACAAAAAGAGATTAGATGAGAAGGTTGAGGATTTGTAGATTAGATTACTCGAATCCTGATTCTTCGGGTTTTGGCTCGACAAAATGGCACAACTAGATGGTTGCTGTGTGTGAGATCATTTTTTTTTTCATCGGGATCGAAACGTTGTTCTTGTATTATTTAGTTTGAGTTTTCAGGAGAGATTTTATTTTTGATTTGATGCGAATTGTTTGTTTGTTTTTAGCATGGCACTTCTTTATTTTTTTTTATCTTTTGATCATGAATGAAATTAAAAATGAAATAAAAACATAAAAAAAAGTGATGAAATTGAAAAAAAGAAAAAGTAAAATCACGAATTTTGATTCGGTTCAACTTCATTGGCGATTTGGAACAGCAAGTTGCGATTTACGAATTAACAATTATATCTATATATTAAGAATACAATTAGAAGCATGAAGAGCCATACCGTACTTTATTTTGCGTAATGAGGTTGATGTTAGTCAAGGGATTAGGGGGTTTGGAAGCGGTTTGTATGCTTTAAACAATAAAAAAAAATATGGAATGATTGTGAAAGCATGATTTGAAGTGTTAGATTCCTAAGTTTGGATGAGCTTAGGGATTATCAATATATTTATATATATATATTTACACGCAACAAGCATTGGTAGAACGAAATTAAAAAAAAATATAGAGAAAAAAAAATATGCAAAAGGATTCAGGAGTTACGGTTTTAACACTTCATGTGCTCATAAAGTAAATTCTAAATACATCATCTCCAAAGAAAAAAAAATCACGTAACAAATTAAAAAAAATATGCGAGTGATACATTTCAGGGATTGACTACGCTTGACTTTCCTTGACAAACTCGAAGGACGCAACCGAATCTAAACCACAAATAAATAAAACCGAAAGAGTTTGTGAAGAAGAGACAAACTTTAACGATGAATAAAATATAAAAACTCGGGGTCAATGCAAGAGAAAAATTATGTATGTAAAAAAAAAACTATCATCCAAAGTTCCATCACTCTTTTTCTTTTCTTATTTTTTTTTTTTGGTTTGAGTTAAGAAGTAAATTAAAATAAAAAAAAATGATGAAACGTAATGAGAATTAAAAAAACTAATAAAATAAATAAAGATATTATTTATGGATTTATGTATTGTTTTTGTACCTCCCAATCTCTTTTTCGGACCTCGCGTTCCAAATCCCACTTCTGTTCCTCACAAATATACATGCGGTCATAATATTCCTTGCAAATCTTCTTAAGCCTGTCTATAAAATCAAAACCGTCAAGAAGAGTATTTTTTGTGACTTGTATTCATATTTTTTTTTTGTGATCATCATGATTGTTGTGATTCTTAAGGTGGGAATAATGTCGACGAAAGAGATGATGTGCATAGGGGAAAAATGTAGACGTAATACGTCCGTAGTGCAAAATCTCGAATTTGAAAGATGAATTTTTTGGAAGAATCGAAGAGATTTGTAAACGGGTTTGTGTTTGCTGGGACTGAAGGAGTTGTATCGTTGTTTTGTTTGTTTGTTTGAAAAGAATAGTAAGAATGAGAGTTTCTCCTCGGTCTGATAATGGAGATTCACATAGTTGGTCCTTGATTTGTGATATTATATAGCGGTAACAATATGTACAACATTACATTCTTTTGGGGACCATCGGCCACCAAGAGAAATAGAACAACAGAACGAAAATTAACAAAAAAAAATAAAAAGTAGAAATAAATAAAATAAAAACAAAATCAATGCCATTCCGTCTCTAATAGCGCACCTAATCAATTAATTTCAAAATTAAGAAAAGAAATAAAAAAGAAACTAAAAATAATAATAATAATAAAAAAAATAATAAAGAAAAGAAATAAAAGAAAATAAAAAAAAATAGTCAGGCATGTGTATCGTGTATTATGGTATTGTACCTCGAAAGCTTTAAGCTTTTCGATCCACTCAAGATCAAATTTATCCCCTTCAAGGTCTTTAATTCTGTTCCAATAAGTTTGACAAATAGTTTGGAGCTCAGCTAGAAGAAACAACGGAAAACGTTAACACAAACAGAGGGAAGGATTTCAACGGGGACCAAAATACATTTAAAAAATTATATATGAGTAACATATTGGATTTAGAGAAGGATCTAACCTCTCCGTATGCTGGATAATTGGTGTGTGATTGAGTAAGAGAGAGAGATAAAGATATATAGAGAGAGAGAGAATAAAGATGGTATTTTAAGTACTTGTTTAAAGAATTATTGTCGACGTTCGTTGAAGCAGAAGCATAAGCCTTAATGGAAGAAAACAATATATATTGAGTTTATCCCTCATTTCGACGTATAAATCCACGAATCGTACATTCTAAACTAGAATCGATCGACTTTTGTTCCTGTTGCAGTTGTTTTTGGGAGTGACAATTAAACTAATTCGATGCAGCCAATAATTATTTTTAGTCGTGGTGCAGAAAGCTCTACTGTTCTGGTGCAAATTTATGTGTGAGAGAAAGATAGAGAAATAGCGATTTTGCCGCAATTATTTTTCAAAAAAAAAAAATAAAAAGGAAAAACAAAAAACAAAAAGCCGCAATTGTGGCAAAATCCAACATCCACCAATCGCTACAAAAAGAAAAAAACCAAAAATTAATCCAATACAAAATAATCTATGTTTGCACGTAATTTGTTGACATCGCTTCTTTTTATTTGTTTTTGTTTCTTTGTCTCTTGCGATCGATTGGCTTCATTTGGTATCACTAATCTCGTTTGCAACTCTCTAGTTTTATGATACTTAAATCTTTTGGTTTGCTTTTAATTTGTATCGTGTGCAGTTCAATTTTTTTTTTTCTGGATTCTGTACCTGCCAATCTCTGTTCTCAACTTCCTTCTCGAGATCGAACTTAAGGCTTTCCAAGTCGCAAATGCGCTTATGATACATATTGCAGTATTGTTTAATTTGATCTAGAAATAAAAGCAGACAACCACCCCGAGGTTTCCGATGGGGGGAGGAGAAAACAGGATTATTTCCAAATTCCTTGCGTTTTCGTTCTAATGGTAACATTTTTCTAATTTTTTATAGAGGGTGGGTCGGAGGCAGCTCAATCTGCCTCCGCTGGGATTCTTTGTTTAATCATTTAATATTTAATTTATCTGCAATTATTGTGCAGCCAGTTGCATGCGCTGTTGTCAAAAAAAGAATATTAAAAAAAAAAACAATTAAAACGTGGCAGTTTAGCTTTGTCATTTTTGTTTGTTTTTTTTTTCTTTTGGGAGGGCTTTACAACGGAACGTAACACGATTTTAGGGACCTTGCGTTACGTTCCGTGCGGCAATTTGAAAGATAGAAATAGAGAGTCAGATAGTTAAAGATAGATAAAGAGATAGAGAGACAAACAAAAATTATTCGCGTCGTGCAACGTTTGCGCAGGAAAACCGCTTGTAAAATTAAAATTAAAAATAATTATTAAAAAGACACAAAAAAAAAGAAAAACAGTTGCGGCGCTGCTGCTTGTTTTGATTTGTGTTCTAACCTCCGCGTCCTTCCTCTTTACGATATATTCAACATCATACTTTACTGATTCCAGTTTGCAGATTCTTTCGTAATACGCCTTGCAGGTACTTTTAAGGCTTTCTGGTGAAATTACAAAATACAGGGCAATGACAAATACAATACTAAACAAAATCAAGATATTAATTAAATTACGGACTGAAAACAGAGTTCAAGAAAAATAGGGGCCAACTATTTACTTTTTTTGTGTTATTAAACAAGGGGCAGAGGTTGCTCAGATAAGGGGGGGTCGGGTGGTTCTATTATTATTTTTGTTGTTGTTAAATAGATGTATTTGGGTAGATAACCCTTTGGTCCTCATGGATTTGTTAATAAATAATTGATGTATTTGTGTGTTGTTTGTGTACTTGAGAGAAAATAATAATAATTATAATAATTGAAAATGGGGCGCTCAAAATGTTGGCAATTGATAAAATTCGTCAAAAAAGAAAAACGAGATTTTCCAAAAAAAGAAGGGACAGCCGTGCCCTTGGATCGGGCGCGGCCAGATTTCGATTTTGATCTTTCATATCTTTTTTTTTTCACCAGATCTATGATAAAGTTCGGGTCTTTGATGGGGCCTAACAGTGTTTCGTCTTAAACCTATTCTTCCTACCTTCATTGGCGTCGTCGATGATCTTGGGCTTTCCACAACGTTCTTCAATGATGCGCCTACGTTCAGCGGCTTTCCTTTCTTGTTCCTTCTTAAGTTCTTCAGCGGCCTTCTTTCTGAGCAACAACTGCAGATGCAAAACGAAAAATGAGTATTGATCGTCTTAATGACATCGGAATCATCGTATTTACCCTAAGTTTCTTCTTTCTTTCAGGAGTCATGAAACCCTTCTTGGCTTTCTTGGCCTTGGAGGCTTCCTCCATGCGAGCCCTTACTTCGGCCCTCTTGCGCTCAATCTCGGCCTGCTTCTTCTTCTTTTCCTAATCATAACAATACAAATATTATACTCACTTTCCTCAACAAAAAAACCTAAAGCTTTCGTTAATTGAATTTAAGAAATTAATTAATCAAAGTCCTAAATTGACGACGCCTTCAGATACCTCATCCAGCTTCTTTTTCGCCTAAAAATAGAAAAAGAAAAACGACCATTAGAATTCGCATCAAATCGAAATATAAAGCAAATAAATATATTGAGAATTTGTTAATATTATAAAACAGGAAAACTTGCACATTGAGTTACATTTGGCGACATGAAATAAGCAACTTACAACTGATCTGTTGAAGTATTAAGCGAAATCATTATTCAACCCTCAATAAGGGATTGAATTAACTAACTAAAATCTAATAAGTCCTTGCTGTGTATAGTTTTCATGACACAGTCCGTTGTATAATCCAAGTCCATTCAAAAATCAATGTTCTACTAAGAAGCTTTGGGAATGTTCAAAAAAATGCGATTCCTTAAATTCCGTTCCGTGAAGTACGTGTATATAAACCGGACGAAAGTTAAGAAATTTTAGAAGGTTCTAAAATAAAAACTAGTCTTGTGTCGTTCCAATTTTAGAACCGAAAACAGCGATCTATTTTTGAACATTCCGATTGCGTTAATCACGATCCTATTTTTTTTTCAATTTATTTACACGGTCGTATAAATAAATCTTTTAGTTCTAATTAGATCTAAAAGAGAAATTCTTTTCAAATGAAAAACTAAAAAGAAAATCGAAAAAAGAATTCTCGCGGATTTGATCATGAAAACCTACCTATATTTAAGAGACTTGAAGACCTTTGATTATTCCTCATACTAGAAGAAACAGAGAGAGAAAATTGATTAGATTAATCTAAATGCTTATGAGATTTGGGGCTACTGATCACTTACCTAACCTCATCGTCCGCCATTTTGCTGATTTATTTGTAGAACTGGAAAATGTGGAAAAAGAAGTTAATTTATTGTTACGTTTCGGGTTCGGGTTTATTTATAAGAGGTGCGCGAAAGGGTTTATTTTTGGATGCCAGTAGTTGGACTGGAGTCAAAAATAAAACTAAAGCGCAACGCCCGTATCTGTGTCTGTGTATGCGTGCGTGTATGTGTGTATGTAATCCAAGTCGCGCTTTCCAAATTTGGACACGCGATTAAATTTCGTTCAGCATATTTTGATCCAACTTAGATTCTTGGCATGCCGCACGCATATATCAATAGATGCAGTAGTATGAACAAAACATGGAGAGCAATGATTAAACGCAATAATTTAACAAGTTATTTTACAGCACTTTAAGTAGATTGTTAGATTCCTGAAGATGAAAATTCCGAGACTCACTTTCGTCTGTTCAAAAACGAATTTCTTTCTTTATTTTTCTGAAGGAATTTGATCGAATTGTAAAGTACGCACTGGGATCACTTCAAGTTGAAACACTTTCGTTTTGTAATCACTTTTATATTATTTGGGGTACATACCTGGGAGAAGTACGTGCGATGTATGACTAGTCAACAGCGACTCCTGATGCTGACTGTGGATGAAGATAGTTGTTGCTTCGTCTTCTTAGAAAAAGGTGATGGTGGTAGGGATTTCGATGGTGGGGGATGATAGGCGTCGCGACGCCGAGGTGGGGTACATCTCCCACTCTCTCGATCTCCCGATGCCTTATAGGCATAATGGGCTAGCACCTCACAAACAGAAATAGAAATCAGCCGTCTATTGAGATATGATACCTACGGCTCTCTTGTAAACATATCTTCCTGGGTCCTCTCTCTTTCTCTGTTTCTGGGTGGATGGACCATTGCTGACACACATACCCTATCCATTCATCCAAGATCACCTACATTTCTTTGCATCTCGATGGTACTTCCTTAATTTGGCTCCAGTTAAATTGGGTGAAATGATCCGAAGAGGCTTCTCCAGATATTTTTAATTTTCGCGGCGTCTCGATAGAAATCCGAGCCCATTTGCCCGTGCCGGTATGAACGAGTTTCGTGTAATAAATTTCGGATATTTACACCCAACAAAAACAATCTTGACCCAATAGCAAAAAATAAATTCACTGCAGTCCAAATAGTTACTCAATCTAGTGCAGCTTCAGAATTTGCATTCGTATAGTTATAGTTTAATTAAAATCATAATAAATTAGAGTCAAAATTAAGTCAATCATACGATATTTGCAACTATTTTCATACATTTCAATAATATAAGTTAATAAGTTAATAGTAGTTTTTACAAGAAAATAAAGTAAAATCAATTAATATATTTTATTTATAAAATTAATTATATTGAAATTGAAAAATACATAATAATATTACAAAATAAGATAATCCAAAAAAGCACTAACTAGTAGAATATAGAATATAGAACAAAAATACAAGTTTGTATAATTATTATGTGATGATCAATTCAAAATATGTTACAAATTGGTTAGACTATTATTTTCTTGCTTTTAAATTTTAAGTAATGTATTATTGATAACTGGATAATTTTAATTTATTTTTTATTAGTAAAAATATTTATATAATTATTTGTTTCAAGATATATAAAGTTTTTTTTTAATATTTTATAATACACTACTATTATTTTATTAATAAATATAATAAAAGTTAGTAACCGAAGAAGGAATATAACAAATTAATTAGATTTTATGATTCCTACAAGAATATCAAAGAAAATTGCAAACAAGATTTTAAAATAAAATTACAACAATTTAAGCCTGTATTTATATTATCGTAATTAGTTTCATAAGAAGCCGTTTAAAAGTAAAACTGGATTGGACGCAATTTCTATATTTAACTTACATAAATATTGCATTCCAAAACATTTGCATCTTTAATGCAATGTTAACATAATAGAATTTAAAATGTGATTTCTTTATTTAAATAAGATCAAATTACTGCTATATTTCTAAATTTTCTTAGGAATATACAATATAAATTGGAACCTCGCTTAACCAGTTTAATTTGTTCCCAAATTTCCCGATTTTTACTTGTATTATAAAATACTCGTATAGTGAAACATAATCAGAAATACACATAATATCTGTACACAAGTTTTAAAAATGTTGTAGCAGGCGCGCAATCTGGGAGTTCTCTTCTCATAGTCACTCGTTTTGCGAAACGTTGCTCGTTAAATAAGTCATTTTTCTTACAATTATTTTTGCTTGTTAAGCGAGATTCCACTGTATAACAATATCTTGGGTAATCGATTCCGCTATTTGTAACTAAACGAGGACTTTATAATACAAAAAGATTATAATTGTGAGTACTATTTTTGTGTTTTTATTTTCTCAATTTTTGTACCAGACTATAGAGAAAGACGCATTATGTGAGATTTTTTTTTTAATAATTACGTTGCTTTACAAAACATACATATAATTGAATTGTTTCAATTAATGCATATAAACAAAGAACATAATAAATTTTGTGTTATTAAATTTTTCATAATTCATTTACTAGAATAAATAAACTTTATATTCTTGAAAATATATTTGGCAGGTTAAAATCATTAATTATTTTAGACATATTGATCAATACACTTTACCATGTGTTATAGTTTAACTAAATATTACATTTTGTTTTAATAATTGCACAGTTTTAATTGGTTTTCTTTCATAGTGTACAATTAATTTTAAAATAGATACATTTAATTATATTCATTTTGCTAAGTTCTTTCAAAAAGTAATTCGACATTGAAAATGGGAATATATTATTCATGCAATTAGCCTTGTTATTTTTTTTGTGTGTGGATGAACGTAATACAATTATTTACATTTTCTAAAAATGTAAACGCTCGACGATCTTAATATCTGTCTATCTTTTTTGGTTTCTTATTTTTTTTTTGTTCGTAGGCTGAGAATATTTTGGTGGGTTAAAAACGTCGTATTACGTGGGTGTCGTAGGAGGCGATCGGAAAACTGGGACCCAGAGCAAAGTGTAGCAGTATATTCACGAATGCGCACGGACTACATCTATTCTTAGATTGCACAACATCTGTTACTCTTGATTTTAACGAATTATAAACTTCTCTCGACCATTAATAATAAGCGAAATATTCTTATTTTGCTTCACTCGCAAATCTCGTAAGGTTTGTTTACAACTAATCTGTCTCTCCTCAGATTGACTTAATAATTCAATATATTCATGTTGTTTCAATTTTATTTAAATGCACAAACTAGGTTATTAGCCTATTAATAACATTATTTATACATTTTCAGGACTTTCAAGAAAAAATACATTTAAAACAAATAAATCACTGAAACTGCTGCATATTTTAGTTATAACGTATTTCAGTTATCCAACGATTTTTTTTTGCGAACTGTAAACACCAGTATTTTGGGATATACCAGCTTAATGTCTGCGCAAAGTCCCACTGTTAGTTTAAAACGTACACTATAAAAAACGTTTAGATTGGAACTTTCAATTAAATCAGCAATTTTTTAATAAACATTCAAAGTTGAATTTTTCAACTTACAATTTTTATATCTCTTAATAATAATAGATTTTTTAGCTAAAAGTCAAAAGATATTAAATTACTTGTAACAAATTACTATAAATATTTATTATGACAAAGGTTTTTTTGCTGCAAATTAATGTTTTAAGTTGAAAACAAGTTACGTCTTCTATTTATTCATTGGCTGATGTATAAATCTATAATATCATGCTATAAATATAAGATTTGCACATTGCTATTATAATATTGAGATTGACAGAAGAATCAACGTTTTATTTATTTAAAGATGTTACTTTTCATGAACGCACTTTAGACCAATTGCGTCAAAAGCCAACTAAAAATAACCGAAAATAGTTTCCAAAACAAATTTAAAAGTACAGAATTAGCTATGTGTTTTTTTTACTAAATAATAAATACATATTTTTATGCTTAAACATTATATATTATTCTATAAGTAAGAAATATTTGTATACTACAATCATTACTCTAATTGTTGTAGTCAATTATCAAAGTAGAACAGGTGAACGCGAATAATAATTCTTACTTTTATTTATAATTGAAGATATTTAACTTCCTTAGAATATCAAAGGAAATTAAGTTAGCTTTTCTAGATTTTTACCAGTGGGCGCAATACTAAAATAGAACTAAAACTGGAGTATTGTTCCAGATAGATGCAACCTCTACTAGAAACACGCCTGATGAATGATATACTGTAAATAAGATAATAACTGTATACACTAAATAATATAAAACTTATGTAGATAAATGTACTACAATAGTTTGCAAAAAAAATAGTAATTATTTTATGTTATAATTAAAAATAGATTATTAAAAAGTAAAATTTCTAAAAAAAATTGAATTTTGCAAAATATTTTAGAATTTCACGTGAATGTAAGAAATTGATGTCAAATAAGATATAAAAAAAACGAACAAGATACCAAACTAATATGTTTATTTTAAGTATGTATGTAAAATTCTAAAAATAAAGCAGCTGTTGTATAGTTTGTTGTAGTATAAAAAGTAAGGTATGCAAACTGATCCACAAACCCTATATTTAATCTAAATATTCTTTAAGTGTTTACAACGCATTATTGTTAAGTAATATTTTAATTATTTTATTTAAAAATGCCGAATTAAAGAAAATTATTGAAATTATTTCATGTTCTTATATGATATTCAAACATTTATTTGCATTTTTAATATTATTTAACTCTCATAATTATTTTTAAATTATATTATTTATTTAATAAATACCAAAATTAATGATGTTTCTTTTTATAAGAAAAGTTGTATGATAATGTGGTTGATATAATAGTTATCATGTGAATGGTTCGTCGCTGAAACGATTACAGAACACTGTAAAAGTTGCCGGAGGCGTCGCGACGTCCTCCATGCAAAGCTAGCAGCCCAACGACGGGTTTGACGTCATAGCTATGTCGTCATAGCAACCACAAAGTTAAATGCGTTTACATGCATCGATATTAACGAAGCAATTTCAGGGAATTCGAAATTTTTTTTTATGAATTGTATTATTATTCAACTATGTAAAGTTCAACAATTAATATTTATTATAGAAGTATTTAAATGAAATAACTTTTAAATACAAAATATAATAGTTTGGACTATATATTTTATTAATTAACAATACATTTACAATTTATAATAATATTAGTGATTAATAGTTTTATAGAAGAGAAAAAAATGTGATAGAAGAAATAAATGTGTTGTAATAATTTTATATACAGAATAAATAATAATTAATAAGTCCTGAAACGTAACTGTTTTTTCCCAGGATTGTTTGTCGTTGATTTATAAATATTTGAAAATGTATTAGATCGATTATTTAATCAATTTATAAAGTTAGGTATTGATTAAATAATAATTTGTATATAAGCATAAATACATATAAAACTTTTCTCTTTTCACTCACTCATTTTAATATAATTTAATATTCTACAACGTTTTTTGTGCAGCGTTTTATCCTTGTTTTAAAAACAATAATACGATAATAATAAGATAAAAACTATAACATTTAATGAAGATATTATCAAACAATTTTCATCTGAGACTATTTGAAGACAATTAAAAAGCGACAGATAGCT